ACAATAGCAAGAAAATTTCCCTTCTCTACTAAATTCACATCCTCTTCTCAAAGACAGTCAGTTCTCAGGGTCATCTACAAGTCACCTGCGATATCACAGAAACTCCACACCTCATTTTAGTAGAAGGTTGGTTACGCTGGAGAAGAGTCGCTGTTTGAAAATGATAATAGGAGCCTGGCATGTCAGTGAAACGCTCTTCATTCCCAGGAAGGAACAGGAAGGAGCTGGCTGAACCCTGAGCCACCTTGTCTCAATCATACCACAGCTCAAAGTCTTTCTAGCTGAGAAAAGAATTATTCACAGAGGAGAAAGTAAAAATAAACGTATCTTTCTATAACCTAGATCAATACCAGGGATGTGCTGATGGTTAATCTTGATTGTCCACTGGACATGATTTAGAATTTCCATGGAAACCAATCTCTGGATAAGTCTATAAGGGATTATTTAGATTAGGTCAACTGAGGTGGGAAGACCCACCTTAAAATGAAAGTGGCACCACCCCATGGACTGAGGTCCCAGACAAAACAAAACGGAGAAAACAAGTTGAACACCTGCATTCATCTCTCTCTACTTCCTGACTGTGGACACAATATGACCAGCCACCTTCTGCTTCAGCTACCGCATCTACCAGATGGACTGTACCCTCAAACTGTGAGCCAAATAAACCCTTCCCTTTATATTGCTTTTGTCATGTTTTTTGGGTTTGGGGGGGTTTTGTTGTTGTTGTTTTTGGCTTCTGTCATGTATTTTGTGAATGCAACAAAACAAGTTAATATAGATATCATAAACAAAATCTTGGAGAAAATATACCTCACAACCACTGGAGTATGCCTCTTTTTGGTTTAGAACTGTCTAGTCATCAAATGAGTCAATGTTTTTCTACCAGTTCAATTTATAACCAGGCCACTGGGAGATCATGGGTTTTTTTTATTTATTATTTTTATTTTATGTGTATGCATGTATTGCCTGCATGTAGGTAAGTGCACCAGTGTCATGCAATGCCCGCAGAGGTCAGAAGAGACTGTCAGATCCCCTGGAACTGAAGTTACAGACAGTTGTTAGCTGCCATGTGGGTGCTGGGATTCAAACCCGGGTCTTCTACAAGAACAACCAGTATTCTTAACCACTGAGCCATCTCTCCAGCCCCGAGATCGTGATTTTTAAGTAGAGTGTACACTTAGACCTAAAATGCATAATCTATTATTACTGCTCCATATGTAGCCTCTTTCACTAACCAACCATAAGAAAGTTCTCCAATAGAATCTGCACACATGTAAAATTTTTAAAATATCTACTACTTTTATGAGTATGAGTATATTATCTGCATGTAAGTGTACCCATGTTATGCAATGCCCATGGAGGCCAGAAGAGGGCAGACCCCCTGGAACTGTAGTTATGGATGGTGTTAGCCACCATGTGAGTGTGGGAATTGAACCCAGTTCCTCTGGAAGAACAGCAAGTGTTCTTAACTGCTGAGCCACCTCTCCAGTTCCACAAATGTCTTCTTGATGCTGACATTACATTATAAAATGATAAGGAGGAAATTATAGAGACAACTTAAATTAGAAAGTGGAAAGCAGCATTTGGGATTATCTTTCCCATTTAACTTAACTATAAATAATGGCCATAGTGCTTACTGAGACTTCAATAAGTGATTGGCACATGTGTACTTAATATATATAATCCTGGTTTAACAAGACTTAAGAGATGGCATATTTTGAAAACATGAAAAATGCCACACAAAGTTACCAAGCATTCATGTCATAACAACAGACCAAGGATGTTGTCAGTGAGTTATCTACAACTTAGGAGCAGCTTGGGAGAGGAGTATTCCACAGCTCCTCATAGAAATGGAAGCACAGTCCTCAGTAATGGCTTTGAGCCCAGGCAGGAACAGAAAAACAATTTCCATCCATGCTCTTTTAACAGTTCGCTACATTTCACCTTCTCAATTCTCATTCATCCAGCTAGTCAGGAAGGTGAAAGGAGCAGAGACGAGAACCTGAGTGAGATAAGCTTCAACAGAAGAGGTAGAACACACAGCTTCCTCAGGACCTTCCTGTTTTTTTAGGACCTCCTTCCTGTTCTTACGCTCCCAGAAAAGTTAAGCAGGCAGATAATCAACAGCCATTTTATTAGGAACTAGGAGTTCACTCATATAAGAAAATCGAAAGAACACTCAACATGAGAAAAGCATGTAATGTTCTAGTCGCTGGTCCTTAAGAACACCACAGTCCCACTGGATAGGTCTTTACCTCTCTCATTTCAGATAGTCACAGATAGTCACATCTCAATGCTCAAGTGGCTTAAGCTTTTAACTATTCATTACAGAAGTGTTCCATTGTGTTTGATAAGGTAAACAAGTTAGGAGGTATTACTCAGCAGCAACTGAAAAATGACTCTAAATGTATTTGACTGTGTCTGTCCAGCCCCAAAGATAGTCTCCAGACCTCAGAACAGGATCTTGAATTGTAGCCCTCCAGGCAGAGTCGAGAAAACCCATACAAAGCAATGAACCAATCCAACATCAGTCATTACCATAAAAAATTACAATACTTTTGTTAAAAAATTTTTAAAAATATTTTTAATTAGGTGTGTCTGCCCATGGGTTATGCAGGTGCTTGTGGAGGCCAGAAAGGGGGGGGGGGTGTCAGAGTCCCTGGAGCCAGAGTTACTGGCAGTTGTGAGCCACCTGAGGTGGTCTTCTGTAAGAGCAGTCTCTCCAGCTCCCAAAAATTATAATTATTTTTACTATTATGCTATCAGTGTTAAGTAAGAAAAGGTTCAAGAGAATACAAGAGCTGGGTGTGGTAGGGCATGCCTTTAATGTCAGCACTCAGGAGGCAGGGAAAGGCAGATCTCAAGGCCAGCCTTGTTTACATACAGAGTTCCACGTCAGTTGTGGCTACAGAAAGACCCATCTCAAAGCAACAAAACAAAACAAAAAAGTACTAGAGATGTGTTCTCTCCAATATTTATATTATAAATTTGTACACAAGAATTATGAAATTAAAATTTATTTCTTTCTCATGTAGTCATCTAGGTCAGTGCTTAAGTTTCTAATGCCTAATTCACTTTGGATTCCCACTTGAGAAATTCTGTGTAATGAGAGAGCATCTGAAAAACAGGAAATTTGGGGCTAGAGATATGGCTCAGTGCTTAAAAGCACTGACTGCTCTTGCAGAGGATCCAGGTTCGATTCCCAGCTACAAACTGTCCTTAACTCCAGTTCGAGGGAAATTGGAAGCCCTCTTCTGACCTCCACAGCATTGCACGACATGGGTGCACTCACATACATGCAGACAACACACTCATAATATTTAAAAAAAAGAAAACAAAGAAAAACAGGAAATTCAAATGGACTAGATGGTGTATGACCACAAAGAATTAGTAATGTGTTAGGTGGCATGGTGTGTATCTTAAAAAGGTTTACACAGTCCTAAAATATACAGTTAAGTAGAAAGAAAATGAAATTTGCTTTAAAATATCTCAGTAAAGAGAAAAAAATCAGCAATTATCAAATGTGGGTAATGACCTGTGGGGGTTCATGTATTACTCTTCAGTCCAAGTTTGAGATTTTATGATAATTAAAACTTTTAAAATACCCTACTGTCTAGACCCACTCCTAAAGGACTCCAATGGGAAGCAGGGAGGAATGTCCTTGCCAGATTTAACAATTAAAGTACAAAAATTATGAAACTGACATTTCTAGATCTATATTTTTATATAACAGATCAGAATTTCTTCTAAGAAAAGCTGGAATGAAGACCGTTATGTTTTATACCAAATGACTCGTAATGCTTTATTCCAAAGCAACAAAATGCATGTTTCCAAAAGATGTACAAAGACAGGTATGCCTTCCGCTCAAAAAATCCCTTAAAGGTCATAATATTTTTTTTTTTGGTCTTTTTGAGACAGGGGCTCCTTGTAGCCCCAGCTGACCTGGAACTCACTATGTAAACCAGGTTGGCCTCAAACTCACAGAGATTTCACCTGCCTCTGCCTCCCAAATGCCGGCTGGGACTAAAGGCGTGCACCACCATGCCCAACACTGGTCAATATTTAAACTCACAATATCCTCTTTCTATCTTCGACCTTTTGAAAATTGTCTTCCTTTAGAGAAATTATGACAACACAACTGGGCAGAACCTGTAAACACTGCAGAGCCGAGGCGGGAGAAGCTTCCAAAGACAAACAGGGAGAAGTAAAGTTCAAAAGGCATTTAGGAGCCTTATTCCAGCTACCTCTGTGCTAAGCTCTTTTTCCTCCCTAAATGCATCACTTAACTGTCTGTCAAAATAATTACTGCCCAGTCTCCCTGCTCATACTCCAAAGCCACAGCCTTTTCTGGATTCCTTTCCCTGACAGGCTGCTCAGAAAGCACTTTTCAGTGGAATATACTCCTCTGCTGTCTGCCTGTCAGTGCACACAGCTGTCCGTCAGGAGGAGTAATTAATGGGTTCATTATGTATGAAAGCAAGCATCATCTCACCACTTGGCTGTCTAGTTTGAATAGCTCCTATCAGCTCTTCCTTCACGCCAAGGATGGTCAGTGTCCAGGATATGATAAAGCTGTACTCCCTTTTGGATTTTCCCTCACTACTCAGAAACCAGTGCACTAGAGAGATGTGTTACAGGAGCACACGGAGAAGAGAACTCTCATCACCACCTGCAGACAGGAGGCTGAAGGACTGAAAGTTGGTGAGGACAGAGCCAAGGAAAACAGGAAGGTGAGAAAACATCTGTGTGTCTGGAACACGTAATAATGTTAAAGCAACATGATTTGGGAACATTTGCAATTCTAAAACACAAGCAAGCAGAACTTGTCCAGAGGAAAAATCTACAGGAACAATCAGGATTTCTCACTGCTGAAACAGTCAATGAATCTGTGATGAGTTCTGACCGCTGCTGTGGTCAGATCAACTGCTGTTACTTGATAAAGGCAAAATTCACCCTTTGGTCTCTATAATGCTATCCAAATGGATTCTTCATCTGCTGTGTGCTGTCCTAACTAATGCTATGGGATTATCAGGACCACAGAGACACTGCAAGAAATAAGACAAACCAGCAAAAGAAATCACCACGGGAGAGCAGACGAGGCATTTCAAGTATCAGGGCTTGAGATCTCAGCCTGAGTTCTACCCACTGAGCTTCAGCCGACTCCTGCCAGGTGAGACGTGATTTTATAACAGTAATTCATAGCTTGACTACTGAAATGAAACCTGCTGTGACAGTGAGTGAGCCAGTAGCTTTGAATTGCATGTGGTTCTCTCTTAAGCTTTATGCAGATTTAAGCCTTCTGAGGTAAACACCTGTTTCTGTTTAGGCTGCATAAACTAGTCACTCGTAACTAGATAATAAAACATCTTTAAAATCTCATTTATTTTTCACTGGATTTATCCCATCTTTGTCTTCATTTTTAAAAACGCTAATTATGTTTTATTTAATAGCCTAAAAAAACCTGTATAAGAAGAGCCCAGAATGGGCTCACGTATGCTTTTTACCAAATAGGCAAAAGAATTTGTCTTCCACAGCACTTGGTTAAACAAGGAAAAAACCATAGGCATCTTTAATGGTATTCGGTTAATATATTACAAAAGGTCAATGGCTAGCTTTAATTCTTAGCATAACAAACTAAACTGTGATGTCACTCTAATTCACACTAAAGGAGAGAATGTCTAGTGAACACTAGGACAGGGCTAATTTAAGACACCAGGAATGTAACAGACTGAATGGGGACATTTTTCTGTTTAACAACAGAACAGAAGGAAGTCTGGCAAATAAAAACCTCAAAAGTTTTCATACAGACCAATGGTTGAAACTACAAAGAACTAGTGAAGCCAGGAAAGAATGTTAAAGGGTAGAGTGTCTTCTGGAAATTCCTTAGAAATCACTGCAGAATAAGCCTTCTAAAGAGGCTATGTCAAAACCTTAAAAAGAGCTGTCAGTCCTCCCTCACCTGATGACATTTTCATTCCCTCCATAACAATTCAATCACATGAAATCACTGTCCTTTATCTTCAATTGAGAAGTTAGGTTCAAAATCTTATCAATAAGCCCTAAAACAATCATATTTCTATTAGCTTTAAGGGTGGAGATAAGAAAAACAACAAAAGCACACCACACCTAACTAAAGAAATCTGCTAATCCAAGAAAAACTATCAAAAGGTGTGACTCAATACTTGGCTGAAAATCAATGTGAGTTCTGGGGAGACAGCCCAGAAGTAGACAGACCACTTTCCTGGCATGTGCCAGTCCTGGGTTTGAGCCCCAGCACAAAGTAAGAAAAGTGAAATCCTTTTTCCCATTTCACTGAACTGTTTCCTGTTATAAAATTTTAATTAAGATACTGAGATAGATTACTCTTTTTAATACAGTATACACATAAGCTTAATTGTCACACATCATTTGTATCTGAAGTCCTTAAGAGACACTTGTCATTTTTCTAATACCAAATGAAAGCACCAATTTTAATATAGGTAGTGACAGACTATACCTATTTGTTTCAGAAAAAAAGTGACTAGAAATTTTAAATTTTCACATAAGTGCTGTTTTTTAAACCTATGAGATTTACTTGAACCCTTAAAGCTTCTTTTCATCTGTTTCCTCCATCTTTCATAAATTGGCATGCTTTAAAAACACAGTTTAAGTGAAAAATACCAAACAGTATTTTAAATCGTAATAAAAAATCAATAGCTGTGCAAAAAGGAGATTTACAATTATGCACAAATTCTAATACCCAGAATGAAAGGGGATGTAAAATAATATTCCTGGTATTTTATTCATTTACTCATTGTAATGAAGAAGCTCCCACTTTGGGGAATTTGCTTCCTTCTATAACTTACCTTCCCATGACAATGGATGGGTGGAGGGACACTAAATACTCCACTCCCAAATTAGTCTGTCAGCATCAGTGCCAATGAATCTTTCCTTCCTGTCTCTAAAAGTCCATTCTGAAAACTAACCATGGCAGCTTTTATAACAGTTTCCAAATAGTATTTAGAAAAACCTGTATTTCCTTCATTTTATAACACATTATCTGCTACATATTAAAAAGTTGAAAACTCAACATTATCTTTAGCATCTCATTGATACAAAATGTGTAAGAAGTTTTTAATATTGTGTGTGTGATGTGTGTGTGGATATACATGCCACAGTGCACATGTGGGGGTCAGAGGAAATTCTATGGAGTCAGCTATCTCGTTCTACCTTACTGTGGGATTGAACTCAGGGCACCAGGCTTGAGGAGAGAAGCACCTTTACCCACTGAGCAAGCCAGCTTGCCAGTCCCAGGTAAGGGGTTTTAAGTGAGTACCTGAATATCAGGTTTTTGGTTTTGTTTTTTTAATGAAAATCTTCCCATAGTATTGGTAGATTTAACAGAGATTTTTGATCTTTGGGAATAGTCAAAGTCTGCTAATTGTTTCTGTGATTCAACAAGATGGAGTAAATGGACTATGATATCCTTATTAACAACAATATCTACTACCATACATCTTAGATTATGGTCCTTTAAATTATCCAAAAGCTGTAAGCTTTCAGTTTACACTACAAGGCAAGAAAAACCAGTATATGGTTCAAAATAGAGTTCATCCATTGAGTGCCTCTGTAGTCATACCAGTCTTTAAAGAGGAAGTCATTTTCCTTTGAGAAAACAAGCAACATAATTTTGCAGACATACAAGTAAAATTCATTTTAATGTATTAACATTTATCTTATAAAGAAGCCCTATTTTAAGTTCTTTAAGTATGTATTTACTTATTTATATTTATATGACTTTCAAGTTTTAATTTCTTTGAAAGAATCTTTCAATACAGTATAATGGTGATGTGTTCAGCTTAATTCAATGATTATTTCAACAAGTCAATAGGTTTGTGCCTTGCGGTCCATTTTCTTTATGAAGGGACTAAATCTGAATAAGGATGTAACTCATCATGAACATTCTACTCCTCTCCAACTTTTCCTGCTGGGAGAAAATGATCTTTGGTTTGTGACATCACAGTTTAGGACTGGGGGCAGTGGCTGTGATATCAAGGCTGATTATACCCTTTCAGTGTGAGCTCGCTGTGATTCCAGCACACTCATTCCAAGTCACACCACTGAGACACCAAAGAGATCTGTGGCAGGAGCTGAACTGGGGGGGAAAATGCTTTCATTGTGTCTGTCACTTTTCAGCATCAACTAAGGATAAATGCTCCACTTCACAGCTTTCCTCACTAATAATTTGAAACATCATAGGGAGTGTAAGTATCATGTTCACTAAGTCTAACAGATGAGAAAAAAAATCCAAGTGAAAACCCCAGTAAGCAAGCAGACAATAGTGGAACCGGAGCAGGAAAAGCAAGGCACAGGTGCAAAATTGCCCACCCCCACCCAAAATGGGACAGTATCACTCAATGACAGGGTTCTAAGTATAGACTGTAAAATGATCCCACAGGGCAGGGTGATCAGAATATGGCATACAAACTAGTACTGTAGCATCAGAGTGAGGAGGAGGCTGATATTAACCCTTCTAAGGAAACAAAAATTCCTTAAGAGAATCTCTTTAATTAGCCAAAGTACTGTGTTCTATAAAATTCTTCAATGAAAATTTGCAAAGAAATAAAAATAACTCCAGAATTATGAGTCAGGGCTCACAAATGCAATAAAAATGAGAGTTCCTCTTAAAAATACATGCATATATATAGACCACCTTTCCTCTTTAGTACTTTTGCAACTACAGCTAGCTGCCAAAGGACAAAGCAGACCAAGCAAGCCTTCCACATCAACACAGGTGCAGTTTACCTTTGGATTAGTATCAATAGCTCCAGTCCAAAGTTCTAGTCATCTGTGACAGCCTAAGTACAAAACATACTTAAATATTATGTGTACAAAACAATAACATCTCCATACATAATCACAAACCAAGATGGAATTTCATTATCTACGGTTACAGCTTTTGCTTGAGATGATGGTATATGAGAGAATTTTGAAAGCATTTGTATACTCCTATGTGCTAGTTAATTACACTGTATTATTGAACAGTTGTCAGACAATCCTGACAGTCTCTATTTTTCATATGGTATCAGAAATATTACTGAAATAACTCAAGAATCCAGACCAGTCAGAAAACACTTTTATTGATCTGTATTTAATGTTAACCTATTGTCATCATAATATGTGGACCTTCCTACTTACTTATCACTATAGAAATGTAGAATGGGGGCTGGAGAGATGGTTCAGCAGTTAAGAGCACTGGCTGCTCTTGCATAGAACCCGGATTCAGTTCCTAACACTTATGTGGCAGCTAACAGCCACCCATAACTCCAATTCCAGGGGATGTGATGCCCTCTTCTGGCCTCTGAGGGGATACTGCATGCATGGGTTCACTTACATGCATGGAGGCAAAACACTCATAAGCATAAAATTAAAATAATAAATAAATGTAGCACTGAATAATGTACTCTTTGAACAGTAAAGCTAGAGACAATGCCCAGTTCAGTTACTCCAATAAAAACCTTGAACTTTGTGGCAAAATGATCTAAATAGGCTGGTCAATACATAATTGAAACCTATCCATTTTAGCTTATTTCATAGTGTCTCTCTGATACTTAATCTTCCATCAATTGCATATTGTTACAAGGACAGTCTTCTAAATGTGGTGATTTCTGGGGAATTTGAAATACCTACAGAAAAGCCTTTCATGTCTAGAAGTTTCCTTAGCCTTGTTGATATTGCTTATCCTAAAACACTTTGTTAGGCAGCTTGAAATTTTTTATCTTTGTCTTGCCTATGAAATTCTGCATTGCTCATGGGTGAAGATCTTAAGAATAATGATCACATCTACTGCCTAATTTCAGATATGCTCAAAACTAGTTAGTCAGTAGGTATACTGAATGATGAAAACAGATTCCAATACCTTCTCGGGTACAATCTCAAACAGGCAGTATAATAGTAACCCTAAAATATATCTCATTTTGACTTCACCAGTAACAGAGCAAGTAGACTTCACAGTGAAGTCTCAGTGTGGGAACACTTTTGGAGCCATCATACTGAAATAAAAGCTCTACAGAAGTCATATCCATTAAGGAAACTATGGTATTATCAAGTAGGTAAATACAATATAGCATAGCTATCCCTCATACTATTTGATATATGGAAATCACATTTACCGTACCGTACTGAGATCCA